CAGTGTGAGTCAAACTGGCAAATAAATAACCCTGTCCCATTGCTGTCAATTTACATTTTTTGATTAATAAATTTTGTTATGGCTTTTGCTGTGAAAAAAAAAAAAAACACCAGTTCCTCCTGTTTGGAAGCAATCCACCACTTGACTTATATTCATGGCACTTTTCTAATCCATCTTGTTCAGGGTCTTCCTGTCTCCTCTGACCCTCCGCCTTTCCCAGTCTGATGTTTTGTCTTCTCAAGGACAGGGCCTCTCCCAGCAACACGCTCAAAGTACGTGAGAGGAAAAAGGTTTCACCATTTTGCCTCGGAGAAGCATGCTGGCTCTTAAGTCCTCTGCCACAGATTTGTCTGTTAAGAGGCTGCCAGTGTGAGAGGTTGAGTGAGCACTCTTCTCTAACACCACAGTTCCAAGGCACTAACTTATCTAAACCTTCCCAACTCACTGTCTGACTTTCATGTGCATACAACTACCGTGGCCTCGATCAGGTGTATCTTAGTCTTTCAATGATCATGGAATTTTTATGGTACTTGGTTTTTTTCAATTTTATTATTTTGTCTGTGCATATCATCAAATTGGATCAGACTGGTACAGGAGGAAACTGTTCCTCTATGCTACTTGTTTTGACCAATTACCAAGCCTCTGCCCTCACCTCACACTGAACTACTGTTGTGCTATAGTGCTTCAGTGATAGTTGTGGTTGTTGTTGTGTGCCGTGGAGTCACCTGTGACCCATAGCAACCCTATGTATGGCATTTCTGAAGCCTGCCCTGTCCTGAGCCAGTCTCACTAATTCCCACACACCAATCCCTATTGCCTCAGTTACTGTATCAACCCATCCCAACGAGCTGTTATGTGCTGTCGAGTTGCTTGCAACTTATAGCCATCCTATGTCCAACAGCCCTAAACCCTGCTCTATCTCCTGCCAATCTTACTGTCTCCCACACACGTATCCCCATTATCCCAGTGACAGAATCAATCCATCTCATCGAGGGTCTTCCTCTCTTGCGCTGTCCCTCCACCTTCCCAAGCATGATAGCCCTCTCCACGAACCAGTCCCTTCTTACAACATGTCCAAAGTTATGTCAGACAAAGCCTCAGAATCCTTGCCTCCAAGGAGCAGCCCGATTTAACCCTCTCCACGATGAATCTGTTTGTTTTCCTAGCAGTCCATGGTACATTCAATACTCTTCTCCAGCACCACAGCTCAAAGGCATCAATTCTCCTTCTATCCTCCCTAGTCATTGTCCAACTCTCTGATGCATAGCAAGTAATTGCAAAGACAACTGCCTGTATCAGGTGCACCTTAGTCTCCAGACTGACATCGTTGCTCCTCAGTACTTTGGAGAGGTCTCTGACAGCAGACTTTCCCAATGCAATTCGTCTTTTAATTTCCTGGCTGCTGGTGCCAAGAGTGTTGATTGTAAAGCCAATCTCATCGAGTGCCCAAGCTGAATATTGACTCATCTATTTGTCTCGTGAAAGGAAGCTCCTTGATGGATATGAGTCTTGTTCATCTCTGTAGTTTTACTGACACGGGTGAGTTTGTGTTGGGTAAAGAGATATCAGGGTGTAGAAAACAATATGACCCCTTTGTCAACCTCTCTTTCTTCCCAAGGTTGCGCAAGTGTCACCTGGAGGCTGGTGCTTGTCAGGAGATGGCATCTGTACTCAGCACCAACCAGCACCTGCTGGAGTTAGACCTGACGGGCAACGCACTGGAGGACTTGGGGCTGAGGCTGTTGTGCCCAGGGTTGAAGCACCCAGCGTGCCGTCTACAGACGTTGTGGTGAGCTGTTGGCGGGGGATGGGGCAGCACAAGGGGCAGGTTTCCTCACGTTATGTTGAATGAGTGGTGGTCTCAAAGTGTGTTCCAAAAAAAAAACACCACCCAACTTCTCTGGCTGCTTGTTCGGGAAACTCATCTCAAAGTTGTTGTTGTTGCTTGCGGTCAAGTCAAGGTGGACTCACAGGGGACTCAATGAACCAAAGACCTATTGCCTTTTCCATAGCTATCGTTGTTTCTCCAAGTTCATAGAGTTTCCAGAGGCATGTGGTTTAGGAAGTGGATGCCGCTCCTGCTTCCCAACCTATTTTACATCTAGGAACTCCACCAAACACTGTCCACTATGAGAAACTATTCTGGTATTTGATACCCCAATGGTACAAGGTTCAGCATCACAGAAAACCCAGGTTACTTCATACAGCACATTGACAAAGAGTGATGTACAATGTGGAAGAGTGTTGTTCCTCCAGATAAAACAGCACTCGTCTCATTTAGCAGCGGATAAGTGTTGTCTAGTCAAATATGACTCAGACTAAGCTTTGCACAAAAGACCTGAACTCTGTTCTATAACTAACATCATTTCTGTGCATTTCTAAGAGAGTTTGTAAAGTTTCCAGAATCGGCATCTAGGTTAGGAAGTGGATGCCACTCCTGCTTCCCAGCATCATACATCTCAAAGTAGCCTGAGATAAAAGCGAAGTTGCTGGCTTTTTCCAAAACCAAGCCAGTTACGGTCACTCGATTCTGACTAGAAAAAAGTCCAGCGGCAGCATGGGACTCAAGCATAACTGGGGACTGCATGGACGCTCTCTCCCTCTGCCTCTTTTTATATTGGTCTCCTAGGATGACCGCAGCAACACTGAGGGACTTCAAAAATCAAACTTGCAGGGGAGCTCTGGTGGCCTAGTGGCAAGGAGCTGCAACTACAATCCCAGAGGCGCACGGTTTGAAGCCACCAAATGCTCTGCCGGGGAAGGAGGGACAATCTCCTCCTGTACCAGTCAGATCTGATTTGACGGTACACACACAAAAATAA